ATATATATTATATATTAATATATATCCTTGCATATTAAATGAATGTAAGAAAATCAAATCAGGCAAGTTAGCTACTAAATGCCTACTCCTATGAAGTGGAGTGATGAATGAAGGTTTTAGTAATCCATATTTTGATCTTCTACACTCATGAATAACTGAGAATTAGTTCTGCAAGTTAAATCCTATTTCACAGAAGAGACCCTTTCTTTTGCCTAAACCTAATTTAGAGAAACTTCAACTCTCCAAATACTTATGAAAATAAAACACAAAGATATTCCAGAATTTGGAAGACAGAAGGAGTAAGAATGACATGTGAGTTTCAATTTCCTTCCCTTTTTACCTTAAGCACTTTTTATCCACTTGCCTATTCAATCTAAGCTGTGGTTCACAAACTGTGGCTCTTGGACCTGAAGCACCAACATCACCTAGGAACTTACAGAAATGCAAATTAGGTGGGAACTAGCAGTTTCTATCAGGAACTTGGGGGTCAGTCCTAGCAGTTAGTGATTAACAAGCCCTCCAGGTGATTCTCACACATGCTAAAGTATATAACTAGTACAGTATTCTAAAGAAATCCCATAAGATGGGAATAGTCTTTGTACCATTTAATATTCCAGGGATACAAAACAATGTACAACACTTAATGAATATTTTAACTCCTTTAACCTCTTAGACTTGTTTTGTTATATGCAAAACAGTATTAAAAAAAAAAAAGAAGAAATCATTTTATACCTACTAAACATTTTCTCTAAACTCCTAAATTGGAATTTTCTACCAACCCTATCCTCACCTTCCCTTAACCATTATTAAAAATGAGATATGGTTTCTCCCAAGTTAATTTTATCCAAAATAATACTATCACTAAACAATGCATATAGCAAACACTTATTAAACTTAACTAGTCCAATGACGCTAAAAGAGATCGGAATAGGCAAATTAATTAAAGGAAAAAAAATTCTAGGCTGTGTCATAAGGTCATTAAGATTTAGTACTGGACAATGGGTACTGAAGACTTCTGAGGAGCCTTACACTGGTGAGAATCTTATGTATACTAAGGCAAAGGGAAAAAAAGACTAAAAGTACTAATTAACATGAGAAAGAAGACGCATATTTTAAGAAATTTTACTAAAAACAATGAACAAAACTTTTAATTCAGTAAGCTATGAAATAAATCAGAATGCTAGCTCTTCAACTATCCTAGCTAAATGAGATTTTATTATAGTTTTTTAAAAATATAAAACACTATAGAGAAGAAAGTATACTTTTAAAAACTGAGGTACTTACTTAAAATCTCATCTATATTTTCTGTATCAAGACTTGTTATTTCAGTTGTTACAGGAGTAAAAATCCAAGATACCTGAAAATTTTAAAATGTGAAATTAATAAATGTTTCCACAAAAGGCAAATAAAAGTCTAAAAAATTAATGAATAAAGTTGGTTCCATTTGTTATTTAGAATATCAACTGATTTTTAATCTTTAATAATTACTTTAACCCTTCACTAGGTCAACAAAACAGGAGAAATACTAACTTTTCATCCTAAAATTAGTCAAGTAAGAATTCCTACACTTCCAAACAAAAGAAATTGTCTCTAAACATTTTTAAAACTAAGAATTTACTCATTCATTTAAATTAATATTTTTAACAACTTTATTTCTATAGCACCAGAAAAATTCCCAGATTATCAGTTTAGAAAGTATTTATATAAAACCAAAGCTAAGTTTGCTGATTCTATCCCACTATGCCCCTAAACAGAACAAAAAACTGCAAAAGAATCAGAGAAGATTTGCCAACAGTAAACTCAAACCACCTCTTTCATTATTTTCACTTACTGGTGATGACGATGTGTTAAGTGAGAGACTATTTAAGAGAATAAGAATATTATGTTTTAGCTATAATGGTAATAACAATATATTGAGAGATTACTTAAAAATGTTATGTTTAGGGCCGGGGATTTTGCTCAGTGGTTTCACCGCCTGTTGCGCAAGCGCAAGGACCTGAGTTCGATCCCCGGTACCAAAAAAAAAAAAAAAAGTTATGTTTTCACTTTAATGTGCCTGAAATCCAAAACCAAAGATAATCTTAGTCTGTCATTTCCAAAACAAAGAAAAAATTTTAAACTAAACTAGCAATTTTTATTTTAAAAAGTAATACTTTCTTAGGTTCTATTTTTAATATACTTTGTATTTGCTGCCTACAGTTTTTGTTCAAAACAGTTGTGTATAGAAAGTCATTCACTGAGACATTACTTTTTATTTTGACACAACTAATGGGAGGCTCTGATCAGAGTACTGGAAAGTTTTCCTTTAGCCACCCATTTGGCCGCCACACTTTACCACTCACAACAGTGACAACTCAAAATTTTACAATTCACCAATAATTCAATCTAAATGATATATAGACATGTTTATTAGCATATAAATAATCCTAGCTAATTTTTAAAAATATTTCTATAGAATTACTCTTAGAAGAAGTCTAAGGACACCAAGTCTTATATTCAAGTTACCAAAATTGATATACCCAATAAGTTACAACCACATATGTTGCTAGCAAGTGATAATTATACTCTTAAAATTAAGTTAAATGATTGCAAATCTCCAGATAAATTATTTATACATATTTTCAATTCTTCAAAAATTAACAAAACATTAAATTTCCCTTCACTCTTAACATTACTTAATATTGATGAGGGTGAGGATATGCAACCCTACAATATGGCACCTTGGCATCTGCCAAAGCAATAGAAATAGAGAAGTCTCTCTGGCCTTCTTTCTCCCCTGCAGCAGGCCACAACACCACCAATTCTCCAATGTCCTCCTAAGCCCCTCACGAGGGATATACCCTCCCAAGAACTAGAAGAAAAGAATATTCTTATCTCTGACCACACAGAGACACCAAGAAAAACAAACAGGCCTTGCTAAAGTCCCCTCAATTTATTGCTATTAGATTATACTCCTTTTTGCCCAATCATACTTCTTTCTGCATGACTGTCCTTCACCAAGCCAAACATAAAAGTACACTGTATTTTTTTCTTGTTTTAGGTCATCATTTCTGAAGGATCCCATCACATAAAACTTAACTACATTAAATAATATTGTCTTATTTTCTCTTGTTTATCTATGTTACAGGGATCTCAAACATGAACCTAGAGATGGGCAAGGAAAGAAATCTTTTCTCCACAATCTCAACATCTCGCTAACAGATTTTTCCCTCCTGGTTAGACCAAATCTAGATAAAAGCAGAATCTAACTATGTTGCTACAGCAAAGTTTTATAGTCACATATTGAAAAAAAATAGGAAAACAAAATATTATCATAAAGCAATAAAGTTATTTATATTGAAAGTCAACTCATTAACAATAGGTACAGAATATCTATTAGGCACTAAAACTACAAATACATTGGGCATACTATGCTCTATCTCAAGGAGCCCTTAAGCTAGTTGCAATGACCAAGAGGGCAGCAAAATAATGCTAGATTACAGACGATAATGGGTTTTGACTACATATTCCAATGGAGCCTGTTTCTGAAGAGTTCACTAACACCTATTAAAATATATGCTTAGATTCTAAATTTAGGTACTTTTTACTTTGAAATATTTACATGGCAAAAACATTTACTTGCTAAATGGGAAAAATGAGGCAATAATCAATTTGGCTATATTAAGTAAACCATTACTAAAAACACTGTACTAATAAATATGAACTAAGACTAACATTCGACTAACAGTTGTGTTTGTTAAGAAGCCCCAAAGCAAGAAAACTGTCTCTGATCCACTAATCTCTCCTTCCTGCAGGGAAGAAAAGGGGTATTTTTCTGTTATCATTAACATTTCTATTAATATGCAGGTTGTTTATTTGAATTGTTAGCAAGCTCCACTGGTCTGACAAATTGTTTCTTTTCATGTCAGCCCTCAGCAGAAATAAGACTCTCCTGGGGAAACATCTTTATGTATCAAATGCTGTAGAGCTTAAGTAAAAGACAAGTAGCTCCAGATCAGGAAGGAAAGATGTTTTGTTTTGTTTTTTTAAGGCTTGATGGAAACTTTAAAATTTTTCCAAAATAAACAGCAAAAATTTAGACTGAAATTTTTCATAGGAGATTTTAATAGTCAAAGAGAATATAACCTTTATTGATGAAATATCATTATCAATATGATGGACCATATATATATAGAGAGAGAGACATAAACAGTATTTTACAACTTTGTCCTCTTCATTATTCAATTTATTGCTAATATAGCAGTGAAGAGAAATATCTGAAATCATCTTTCACAACTCACTATTTCCTCTAAGAAACATTTTAGTCTGACATCTAATGATACAATCTTTTATAAAAGAAAGGGAAGGCACACCAGTGAAATGGGTAATACTGCACAAAAACTCATTTTTTTAAAAAAGTGACAAACAAGCTTTATATAGTAGTTACTTCTTTATAAAGTAAAGAACTCTTCTTCCGGGCCGGGGATTTAGCTCAGTGGTTCTGCTGCTTGCCTCGCGAGCACAGACCCGAGTTCAATCCCCGGTACAAAAAAAAAAAAAGAACTCTTCTTCCATTATATAGAGGGATTTTTAAAATTGAGGTCCTACAAAGGTTTCCTTTCCTTAAACTTCTCTGGATTCTCCAAGGCCACATACCTGGGGAGGGATGCCAGCATACTAGTTGCATTTCTATAGCACTTAGAAGTCATCTAGCAGGCAGTTGCTTTTCCCTGAAAAAACTCCACTCTTTCCTGTTCTAGGGTGTACTCTTCTCCACTACTGCATAATCAGCCCATCAAAGATTGAGTCCCATTTCCATGTAGCTTTGGTTTTCCTGATAGAAAATAACTTTTTTCTCAATAGACCAACCTGTTCCATGGAATAGGGACAGAAAAAGGGAAAAAGTAGGCTACAATGAGAGTTACTGAGAAAGTAAAATTCTCTTTAGATTAGGTACCAAGTTAAAGTAAGATATGGGCAATGAAAAGTTGATTAAAGATAAGGCAAGCTATTTTAGTTTGTTTTTTGCACTACTGGAGACTGAACCCAAGGTCATTATACTGAGCTATACCTACAACCTTTTTAATTTTTTGAAACAGAGTCTCTGTAAGTCACTTGGGCTAGGCTTGAACTGATGATCCTTCTGCCTCGGACTTCCAGAGTGCGGGAATTATAGATGGGTTCCACCATACCCAGCAGTAAGTTTATTTGCTTTTTTTTAAACCACTCTTTAAATGTTAAGTCAGATTTTAATTGTTACAATATTAACATATGCCCATGCTATAATACTAGCACACACAAAACACAATAGGACCAATGGTTCCCATCTGAATATAGAGTTAATGGGAACTATTATGATACTCTCTAAATTGAATGTCTCCTTTCAATTCAACCTGGCCATAGAGGCCAGAGTAATCTTTCCAAATGTTGCTTCATGTACATCAACTCCTCTGACAAAAAACCTTCAAGGAAAAGCCTAACTCCTTCACCTGATATTTAGTACCAGTCACACTTGCTTTGCTGAGTCACATCCTACATTTTCCATCCACACCCACCCTGCTCCAACTAAAATGACTGTACCTTGAGCACCTACAGTACATTCTAGTTGGCCAAACTCTAGCTTATTGAGAAACCCCAGTTTATGCTGTTGCCCTGGAGTTTTATTAGAGCACCACCCCTTGAACTCTTTAGGGTCCCTAATTCAGACAATAAATGACATAGTCACCCTATGTTTAATAGACATTTGACAGCTGAGAGGAATTATACCAAGCTGTTCCCCAAATCCTCAACTAAGAGCAAAATATCCTCTCGAAAAAATGGAATGAGTAAATAAAGATGGATTAAGATATGAATGCTAAATCAATCACTAGCTTCATTCACTGACTTGAAACACTAAACTCTGAGCAAGTAAAATCAGTAATTCAAAAAAGTTGCTACATGAGCCTTTTAAGATCACTCACAAACAGTCCAAATCCTGTGAGTCATAAATTCAAGAACTGAATGCAAGAAATTTACAGTACCCATAATTCCTAAAATATGTCTCATTAGTCTCCTCTCTCTATGCCTTGCTTATGAAATTTCTGCTGTGGTAACAGCCCAGAGAGAATACCTGGTGTTTCCAACAATATCTGGGTGTTTTAACACCCAATTCAAAAGCTACATTTTCTATGAAGCCTTTCTTCCTGGTCCCAAACAACAATGATTCATTTCTCTTGTATGAACTCCTGGAGCACTTTCTGTAGGGTCTTAACATTATTCTTTCTTTTTTTTTTTTGGTACCGGGGATCGAACTTGGGTTCTTGTGCTTGCAAGGCAGGTGGCAGAACCACTGTGCTAAATTCCCAGCCCTTAACATTATTCTTTCCTAAAGAAAGACAA